GGACCTGCATGTGACAGGAACTGTCCATCTAACTGTCGCCCTTTTCACGGTATCATTCACTGTGATTTCACTACAGGAGAGTGTCTAGAAGGTTGTAACGGGGGATATCATGATACCTTCTGTCGCAAAGAGTGCAACTCTAACTGCATCAACAACATCTGTAGCCAAGTAGATGGCGAGTGTACCAGTGGGTGCAAGAATGGGACATCGTGTATAGTTACAACGCCACCAACAAACAAGCCTGATACAAATATCACGCAGACACATTGTGGTAAGAGTTGTATGCAGATTTTCAAGTAGATACAAGTTCGAACTTTCCCCGCAACATAATGCAGTTGCTTGTATTTATAAATGTCGACTGAAGTTATCCTGTAGATAAATGGTTCCGTTTGTTCTGAGTTTCAGATTTCACTAGCTGCCTCAGTTTCAGTGTTCCCTTGATCATAGTGAGTGTGTTTTTGTGTGCAGGATTGTTTGCATATGTCATACGGTAAGTAAACACATTCAAACCTGGATATAGGCAATTATTGTAAACTTTGCAAACGTAAGCGAAAACTGTTTGTCACTGGCATACATTTGTCAGCATATGTAAAGGATGTTAATGGTCCATTTAAACAATATGATTAAGCCTTGGTGCAATGTAATTTGGTCTGTGCCAGTTAATGGTCTAACAATTCTTTATTGTAAACAGTGTTTTATTGTTTATACTTCGTCACGAAATACACTTAGCTGGAATGCCATATGTTATATGAATATCAATTAAATAATATTCACAGGCGCAGGCACAAAAGGCGGAGAAACAAGAGGGCTGAGGGTCCTGTAGATGAATCGGTATGTAAAATCACAACTGAGTGTTTTATCCTGTACATGGATCTTTCAATTGATAGATTTTGCCAGATTTTGCCAGTGGTACGATCCTTAATACCCATACGGCTTATCTGTTTTGATTTGATTAGTTACAAAAAATAAATTGTGTTGCATAATTCTTAATTCAAGCTGGCGACTTGAGCCAGTGTTCGTAAAACAAAATGTTTGAAAAGACATCAGTCACAAAGGAAACAACTTTTAAGCCCGAGAAATCTAAATGTTTGTGGACATTTACTCAAGACGCTGTAACGTCTATTTTTATTTCTTACAGGTTGAGATGAACACACTGGATAGTGGACACAGCCATTGATGCTTTCAGCACAATAATTGTTGTGAGTGTCAGAATTCATTATTGAACTCATGGTGCACCCAAAACTTACACACATTATAAACATCTCTTTTCATATACGTTGTCATCATACCTAAACCTCTCCCTATACACAAATATGCAGGTTTCTTGGTTTGATTCGAATGCAGATTCACCATTGTCAAATATCTAGTTTGGTTACACCTACGTGTAAAGCTCACCCGTTTAATAACAATATAACTATACTAAACATTCCGTGATTTCATCACGCGCGGACGGGACTATTTTGGGCATCAGCTGGTTATTGGAATGGGGGTGTCAGGGTTACTGTGCAACTATACGGTGCAACGTCTTCCCTGCTCACTATAGACACCTCACTATTTCACAAAACACTAGCGATATATAGACACACTACGCATGTCGGCATGGATCTCAAACTGTATTGTTGACAGTTTTGGGGTTGCACCTGTGATTTATCGCATAACTCAAGAACAAATCCGAAATATAGTGAGCATGGTGGAATTATAAAGGTTCAGAGATTTTCACTAATAGTATTTTGCCCAAAAGATCATAACGACATTCATCCCCGTGTCTACTTATGACCTTGAACTTCGTCTTGTAAACTGGGAGTAGCGCCCCTTGGATAAAGTGGACAGTCGTTAGAAATTCCATACTCGGCTCAAATGATGCAATCTCGTCGTGAATCTTCTGTGCTCAGGAATTGAGCGGATGATAAACGATGAAATGTATCTATAACGCGCTGAATTCTAAACACCAAATGTACACTGAAAGCGCTACAAATGATGTAACGTAACGGTAATGATAGCAGAAAATCCACATGAGTCGAATGTAACTACAGAGCCAACGAGAAATGAGGCTCCACTCATCTAAGTTGGAACGAGTTTGAAGCTAGATTTTTCAGAGAGTGTGTGTGCGTGCATGCATGCGTGCCTGCCTGCGCGCGTGCGTGCGTGTGTGTGTGCGCGCTCACCGCGTGGATGTCCCATTCAGAAAAAAGTATACTCCGAGCCGACCAGGTCTTGATTTTCATATTAGTGCCGAGCGCCAGGGATGACGCGACCAAAGATCGAACCACGGCACTCCGGGCGGTCCAGACCATCCACCAGACCACGGTGGCAGTCGTTGACGTAAACGTCTGTCCGGATGGTTGACGGCCATGTTAGTACGTTTAGAGCACTCAAGTTGGGTGTGATGAAATGGGGTTTACGTCGCCTTTAAGATTAGAGCACTTATATAGCGACGTGGTTGCGTGCGTGTGTGCATGCGTGCCTACGTACGTGAGTGTGTATATATTCTGCTTGAAATTGGTCCGGAGAAATGTCGTTTACTATAAATGTATATAGCGACGTGCATGGACTATGTGTGGCTGTTTATACTAGTCGGGACTAATGCTTGTTTCATCGTGCAAGACCACTGAGATCAGCGTTAGAAATTGGCACTAGTCCTGTAGTCCTTACCAAAGTGCCCAATAGTAAAGGCCAATTTTAAGGGGTTTTGCTATATGTTATCATTATATGGACTAGTGGACAAAAACTGTTAGTTTCTAACGTTGCTGAGATACCATGCCGCAGTTTAACATGGATACCCCACTCAGTATACTTACTCAAAATCGACCAATCCTTGTTTTATCCCCTCTATGCCGATCATGGTAACAACAAGTACCCCCGACCCCTGGTGTTTGCAGAGTCGGGACAAAGTAATGTCCTTACCTGTTACATTGCCCTGGAAATAAGCAAGAGCTGTTCTTCGCCCACAAGAGAGAGCTCCCCACATCATGATACCTCCACCGAATCTGTCGACTTCATGAACGCAACATCCGACATCACACTCATTACGTCGCCAGTATACACGCGGAGCCGCCCATTTCACGTTTGAAAAAAGTAAACGTGATGATCACTAAACCAATTATGTTACACCAACGTTCTTGAAGCTACTCATAATGTGACCTAGACCACTGCAGCCGCTTTGAGGTAAAATAAAGTCAACGTACGTAGTTCTTTCGTGCTCGGATTCCGGCAGCTCGTAATTAAACCATGAATATGTTTTGCAATGTAGGTTGCAGTGAAGGGCCAGGGTTCCGTTATACAAAACTACCGTAGTCCTTTAGTGATCGTAACTTCACACGCTTTTAAATAGACTCAAGAATGTCGTTGCGCTACGCTCGTTTTATGGAACGGGTCTCTGGGCGTCGCGATCCTGGACTGCTGTAAGTTTTCTCTCATCCGGGACGATCTCTAGTTGTGCCATATGACCAATATCATGCCCAAACTCTGGAAAATTGTGCTCCGGGCAACGGAGAAATACCTTGACACTGATACTTGTGATTCATCAGCTTCACGTCCACCAATAGCGTTAATTTCGCATTATTATTGAGTCTTCAATAAGAGTCAAAATTCAACTGAATTTGATAGTGATTCATAAACACATGCTCATACTCAATTAGCATTTAGCTTAGATGTCTTTTGAGTTTTGAAGCGGTTTTGGTAACACGTGACAAATCCCATTAGTTGCATGTGAAAACTGCATTAATGGCTACCATGTAATAAATAATGAATATGTCAAAGTTCATCTCTATTAACTCTGTCAACCGTTGTGACACAACAAAGTTAACAACGATCATGCAGACCATAGTTTCATGAAGTAGTCCGACATGGAAAAATTATCCATCCATGAAATCAAATTTTGATTTCTTTTATAAAATGTATATATTCTTTGCCATTATTAGTATCTGATGATAGTGTTTATTTTCAGCATTTCTGCAAGTATGGATGGATGTCGATTAATTCGTTACGTAGTTTTATGTAAGTATCGGTAACAATATGTAATTAATATGTAATATAGTAATTAATTGTGGGTTCATATTGACACGACGAAAGGGCCCTGTCTACCCATCTACAGGGTATGGTTTAAACATATTAATATAATAAAATGTGTGAAGTTTGATTGGTAAATTATTGATTATAGACTTGAGTAAATGACGCTCTGGAACTGCAGATACGCAGTCAACTATTCGTTACTATCCATGGATATGTATAGCTCTGTCTGGCAGTGTACTGGTTCCTCAGAACGGAGATGTTGAAAACATGTCTAGGAAACTTAAAATCAGGGTTGTGTTTGGTGAAAATCATTACAAATTGATGAAGTCACACGTTGATCTGCAGTAAACAAACCTGTTAAGAACATAGGCAGAGACCGACATTAAACAATAAAGAAATTGTCTTGAAGCTATTTATCACATTGTCATTTTCAGCTTTTGAAACGTGATATGTTTACAAAGTCAAAAATCAAAATACATGTTAGCTACAAATTGGCTTTTGTTCCTTTTACGCATCTAAAAACAGACTAATCGAAAATTGAAAATAACTGTAGAGTATGTTAAAAGTTCTTTGAATCATGCATTACAACAAATGCTTTGACTTTTTTTATGAAGATATGCCTTGTTCATTGTACATATATAATAAAAATATATCACATATGCTTGGTTACAAAAAATGCTATAAAAGAAGCTTGAGATCCTCAAAACAATTAACAAAATTCTTAAATATAAATACTCAGCTAAAATCCATACCACATTCCAAAATGCGAATTAGTTAAATTTGGTGTATTGTTATGTTTTGATACAGGCACATATATTATTGCTTATCTTTTTTTAATGAAATACCTGTGAAATCATGCATCAGAGCTTAACTGTTTATGAACGTACGTTCTGTGGTGATGTGTACTGATATAATCGACATGTAGCGTTGACGTGTATGTTTCAGTTGTTAAATTATTTTACGAAAACGTTTTTGCTTTCAGTGTCAGTGGTTGTTGGTATACAGAATCGACAATGCCCAGTCGGTTTCTATGGTAGCAGTTGCCTGCATACGTGTCCAATGACTTGCAATAACCAGCAATGTAACATTGACGAAGTTGGTCGGACTGTTTGTACCCACGGATGTGTGGATGGATACAGAGGCATCTCATGCAGAATCCACTGTCCAGTAAATTGTCTAGTGTGTGAACGTCTCAACGGCAGCTGCATTACATCTCATCTCATATGTACAGATTTGTGCCAGGGATTCCGGTGTCACACAGACCAGACATGCTCTAAAACCACGTGTCTTGACGGGCGGTATGGACAGAACTGCAGTAACAAGTGCTACCCCCGGTACCTGACATGTGCCCGATCTACTGGAGACTGCACTGCCTGCAGAGATGGTTACTATGGACAGAACTGTGAGCATGATTGTCCTCCATGCAGCTTTACACGCGGTAGTATGGATCAGATATGTAAGGATGGATGCAAGACGACTCCATGTACAGACACCACACCCGGCGACTCTGGAAATAGTAAGTTACTCTACACTTATACTGCCAAACATAATGTACGGACGCATCAAGGATGTCAGTGTATCCCCCTCGAACATCACACGAGAATACACAATGCCTACGCGAAGTATTTTTACAATACTATTGTTTGTGTTGTTCTCATAAAATAACACCTTGACAGACGTTTTACTGGCGGTATCTACTTCTGATTCAGAACAAATTAACCAATAGTGTCGCTCAAGTGGTTTTGAAAGCAATGGGACAAAACTATTTTCATGACATGAATAAAATAGTCTAATATTTTGGTACCACTCTTATATGGATTTATATGCAAACAAATCTTCATTGTAGCACTTTGGTATAGTATTGGTCATTGTTTTTAAAGTAGGCAAGGCATAAATTTAACGAGACCCGGTTAAAGCCACGCTTCGCAAATGAAAACAAAACGTTGACTTACAATCGACGACTGTAAGTCAGATTATATGAGTTCAGCAAATAAGACATACTGGTATTCAATATTGAATATGAACTGAGCCAGAAATACATAAATCATTTGTGTATCTCAGATCAAATGTATCAGTTCTTAGGTAGGTGCGATGAGCAAAGGGTTATCAATCATTATGTATCTAAATCACGTTCCAAATCATATATCTACATTCCCACTACGCCCCATTAACCACCCTAGTAACCGTTGCTATTCCGAGATATAGGCTTAGCCCGATATCATGCACAAACATGGTCCTGGTCAATATCATCTGCATATTTGGACTTCACTGACATATTTTTAATTCATTAAAGTAACAAAGATGCAAAGGGGTAATAGAAAACAGTTCATAAAATGCGTTTGTCCGTCTCTCAGCAACATATACAAATGATATATGCACAAACAAACAAAAACCACAAATTACTCTTGCCTTAAACTATTATATACTGAACCAAAACAATTGTAAAAAAGCATTTTTAAAAGTAATCCCATATATGATATACAACGGACAAATGTCTCAGAGAAGGCAATTTTTAATCAATAATGTCCAAAGAAGGACTTTAATTAACGGTGGTAACCATAATTTGTTCCAAGCACCTACGGTATTCGGTAATTACATCAACAGTTTAAATGTCCCAAGTCCCAAGCACGAGAATCTGATGGCACACAAGTTCAGTAGCGTGTATGGCCACCATGTGCGTTGACAACTGCCACACAACGCCTCCGCATGGACCTTGTGATGCTTGTGAACACATGATTGGGAAGACGACACCATTGTTGCTGCAAAATGGTGCCAAGATCTTACCAATTCTGTGGTTGATTCTGTAGAGTGTGCAGACTTCCGCCAAGAGGATCCCAGACGTGTTCGATGGGATTGAGGTCGGGAGACCTTGACGGCCAGTCCATGACGTTGACTCCCGCATTCTGAAGGAAATTCCTTGTCAAAATCGTTGTGTGGGGTCTGGCATTGTCGTGTGGGTAGATCAAACCGGGTCCATGTGCTGCCATAAAAGGCAGAAGTTCTGGTGCCGGTACCTGGCCGCGGTAAGCAGCAGCGTTGAGGTTGCCACGGATGACAAGAAGCCTGGAACGTGCATTTCAACAGAAAGCACCCCACACCATGACACTTCCGCCTCGAAATCTGTCAACTTCCTGTACACAACACTGGGCGTAACGTTCATGACGGCACTTCCACACCCTCGCCCTACCATCAGCAAATCGAAGATTAAATCACTGAAGACGACTTGATTTCTTTACTTCTGAGTCCATCGTAAGTGTCGCTGTGCCCACAATTGACGTTGACATCTGTGTAATTGAGTCAGAATCGGCCCGCAATTTGGCCGTCGTGCTTGAAGGTGAGCAGTTCTCAGACGGTTTCGAACAGTTTGCGCACTCAGTCTACCCCTAAACAGTTCATTTCTGGTTGATGTAGCCGTCAAAAATCGGTTACGGAGGTGACGTAAGACAATCTGATGATCCTCTGCATGTGACGTCACACGTGGTCGACCTGGGCGAGGGCGATCAGCGGTGGTACCCGTTTGCTGTAGACGCGTCTGTAAATCATAAACAGTCCGTCGACTACAACCCATCGTCCTTGCGACTTCAGCTAAGGACGTTCCCGTCTGCAACATGCCGAGGGCACGTTCACGTTTCACATTTGAAAGGCGTGGCATGATCATGACAAATGGCCGTAAAGACTTTTGTTTTCTTGTTTTTTTTGTTTTTTTTTAATGACTGCTAACAAGTATAGCTGAAAACACGTGCGGTATTATGGCCACGTGACCAGTTGCACGTGAACAACCACTTTTGCCACTATAGTGCTGTGCACATGATTTTGATCGATGCGCCTGCACAAAAAACGGGTGTTATCTGAAGACAATACGTGGCCATTACTGTTTAAATACACAATAAGGGCCCACAGTGATAACTGGTCAAAATGTTAAAATTTTAGGATTGTGAAGTTTTTAATTTGGTTCAGTATATTACATCAAACGCCACTTAACAATGCAAACTCATCCCCCAACGGTGACGTGTCACTTTCACAGACTTGGGAAATCATTTGTCAAGACGGGGGTGGATACACCAAAATGTCAATGACGTGTGACGGCACCATCAGCCTGGATCAGAGCTATGTTCCCCTTTATGGCCTCCACAGGATATCACATGCATGCTCTATCGGACAAAGGTCCGGAGGTCTTGCTGGCATGTTCAAAACAGAAACTTGGTTTCTCTGAAGATCCCGAGTCATTCGTGCTGTATGGGCCGGGCATTGTCTTTTTGGTTTGGTTTGTTGTTTAACGCCGCACTCAGCAATATTCCAGCTATATGACGGCAGCCTCTAAATAATCGAGTCTTGACCAGACAATCCAGCGATTGATATCATGAGCCTCGATCCACTCAGTTGGGATCGGGGGGCACGGGTGGCCCAGTCGTCTAAGGCGCCGCGATTCGCTGTGCAGACTTGCGTCCCTTGGGCACGCCAGAAACCTATGATTGTGGGTTCGAATCCCGGTTCGCCCCAATTATGTTTCTAGGTTTGTCAGCTCCATACCCGTGCTCGTGGGTTTCACCGAAGTGGTAAACGTCTTAGACCTGCATCACTTCGGGCTTTCCTCCCACATTAAGCTGGCAGGCCGTGATATAACTAGAATACTGTTAAAAGCGGCGTTAAACCCAACTCACTCACTAACTCACTCAATTGGGATCGATGACATGCATCAACCAAGTCAGCGAGCCTGACCACCCGATCCCGTTAGTCAGAAGCATGTCTTTTTGGGACAAAATCCACGATGTTGCTGAATGAATAGAATGACCACATGTCCGACAATGTTGTCACAATAACGCTGAGTGTTGAGATTTCCATTAACTATCACCAGATCAGTTTTCCATTACCATAAATGTCCGCCCATACCATAACGCTTCCACTGCCGTATCGATCTCGCTGGATGACGTTATCGGCGTCATACCTTTCACCAATTCTTCGATCGGCAAACTGCACAGAAAATCGTGATTGATGTATTAATAGCGTCTGGTTCCCTTTTGCACAACGCTATCGTTGAGTTCGCTCCCATGCGAGTTTTTCAGCCATATGAAGTTGCGTTAACGGCACAACTAGCGTGTGATCCAATAGAACAGAACTTTGTTTACACCCAGGCAACAGTTTGTGACGAATAACCAATAATCTGGATGAATTTTTCCGATAGAACTTTGAGAATGTACAGTAAGCTTGTACTCAGTTATGAAAGCTATATCAACGTTCTGGGTGTCTATAATCTCACTTAAAGAGAGGGCCGATAACAAAAGTCAGTTAGGTTTGCTCTTTTAAAAGGAAATGAGAAGAAAGAATAATAAATAAAATCAGATTATTTATATGTTCTATTCTGCAGTGTTTTGAATATATGTTTTTTACATAATTGGCAAATATATTCATAAGTCCCCAAATTCAACCTTTACTAAATACAGGGGTAGAAGACACTGTCATTCCAACAGTCACATTTGTATTGATCATCCTACTTCTAGGTTAAATATTCAAACTGCCTTAAACAAGTTTATGTTAATCCCCAGCCCACAAGATAGTTCTAAATGTGAAGCACTCGTTGATGCCTTCTCTGACAATCCGTCAATAACTATCAACAAAGCCTTGCAAAAATACATCAAATCTACCAACAAACCAATGGTTTCATGTTGGATGTAAAGATGTAATAGATAAAGATAATATATATCATTTGCAAATAAGGCTCTTTTTACCAAAAAAAAAGAATACAAAGAGTTACTCAGAAGAAAACAACGTGAATATAAACAAAACCAGCTATAGCAACTGGGAACCTTGGCAGGACAGGACAGGAACCAAAGGAATTCTAGACACTATTAAATAAACTTAGAATGTCATCCCAGAAAAAGTCTGTTTATCCTCATCATGAGGAGCTAACAATCCACTAAAACACAGATATCATCTCCGAATAACCTACACATTTCATCAAGACATAGAGATATGCATATCTCTGACAGTCGTAATATACCAATAACAGTTAATGGCATTCTCACTTCAATAAAACAAAACAACGAAAGATAACATGAATTTTTAAAATCAATATCTTGTACAGTGATAATGATGTCTTAAATTGTTGTCACATCCCACAGAGCTGGGCATCCTGTCTGTAACGCGTTCAACCGGTTTGGCGTGATACGCTCACCTTTTCGCGAACACCTGAAATCATCACCCGCTGCTTTGGTAAACTATTTAGCAAGGTTATTAATGAAAAATCGAATTTTAAGACCACTGTCAGTCTGGCTAAGGAACGTCAGATAATGAGTTTGTTCTTAAAACATTAATAGACTCCGAAAACGTAAAAAGAAAAACAACAACTAAAAACTTGCTTCAATTCAGTTGACAGATCACTAATCCTAACAAATCTAACAAAATCAGATAAAATCTCAGGAAGTGTATTGAAAATAATATCATCACTACATAATGATATCTCTTATAAAGTGAAAACTAAGAGGTCACTTCAAAATCTTTTAAATCCAACATTGGGGAAAGACAATGATGCACTTTGTCTCCCATATTATTTAATATATTCCTCAATGATCCTCCACATTATATCAAATCTGGTAGTAATAATATGACACTTAATGGTGGTTTGCCGATGACTTAGTACTATTTGCCGATTCCGCCAAACAGTTACAAATTATACTTGATGGCCTGAGTGTATTTTGTGCAACGAATAACCAAAAGACGAATGGTGACAAAATAATGTTTAATTGGAAATCAAGTAAAATAGAAGAAGCGAACACTTACATCGTGGGTGATACAAAAATACTCGTTACGGATAGATGTAATTACTCAGGAATAACATTTGAAGCAAGGTAGTGATAAACCTCTCCTGAAAGAAGGTCAAAGGTCTTCCACAAACTTCACCCTACAATTATTTAACCAAAATATACCTATAACGTTTTGCAAATTAGTCAAAGGATTAATCGAGCCAGTAATCTTATGTATTTGTGAAATCTTGGGTGAAGCATCAATCCTCCAGAACAACTCCGATTCGTTCATCCCCGAGAAACTGCAGCTCAGATTTTGTAAATCCATGCTAGGTGTCAGCAAAACAACTCGGCAAGCCGAACAGAACTAGGATTCTTTCCTCTTATTTACACAGTGGTAATAAAAATACTGAATTTCTATCACCATGTTAGTTCTTCAAAAAACGGTACACTTCAGAACGTTTTAGTTGAAGGTATATCTTTGGTGAATAAACTAATGGGATGCGTATACCAACTCAATCTATTCTAAAAAACCCATTAAATTCAGATTTCCTACAATAAATCTAAACTCAACTCGATCTTCAACGAATCTCTTCATGATGCTAAGGCAACTAAAGGCACAGGACAAAACTTACAGGATAGTTAAACTAAAATTTAAACCTTATCCCAGTCACTGTAAAATAAGTAAATATCGATTGCACTTTCCTGAATTAAGATTAAGTGACCATTAATCAACTGTAGAACTTGGTACAAATACAAAGCCACCAATTCAACAACACCAGAGGCTATGCTCTACATGTTCAACTATTAATAATAATGAAATCCACTACATACTTCACACTCACGAAAGAAAAATGCTCTTTAGGAAATTATTCACACAAATTGTAAATCTCCACAATAATGCAAACAAATTATTTCTCAAGATCCTCTCAAATAAGCAATAAATATCCATTGATCATTATCAACCTATGACATTTAATGTATAATATTAAATATGAGCGCTATCTCAAGATATCAAAGAAGGGTTTAGCCTATCTGTTGATAGTTAAGGATAGTTATCTGTGAAACTACTTTGTGAATCAGGATACTTTGCATCCTCCATCCTCATTGTCTGCATGTGATGGTGTGTCTGAGCCATGGGGGCTGTGTGGGGCAAGCAATCCGGAAAATCTTGTTTATTTATTGCAACCTGGTACATTCTGTGGCTGGTTCCATACTGAGAAGATTTTCCGAAGGGTGGGAGATATCATACTAATTACTGGATAACACTTTTACTGCCTCTTGGAGATCCTACTAGATGGGCACTTTTCTTGCATTTGGCCTGAGACTATCTAGGAAATAATCTTGTATATATCCTAATTTACGAATGTGAATACAAATTGATCGGTACACAATGTCGTTGTCAATAATCTATTGTCATATATTATTCCATCATTCTCTAACTATTTTTCCAGCTGTACTGCAGCGCATGTCTTTTTCTGTGGTTCTACTGGTACTGGTCACTTTAATCGCGATGCTGCTTCTGAGGCTGCGCTCACATAGGTTAATGTAAGTTGAATAGTTCAGTGAACTCTCCCTAACAAAGTTCGAGACATGATTTTAAGTGCAAAGAGATTATTACATATAAACACGGTGAGTACATGAAATTCACCTATGAGAGTCGATCATGCTCACAGCGTCATTAACATTGTTGACTTGTGCTTTAGCGCGATTATCTGTGATTCGACAATGACAAGTATCTGCAACAATATCTCAAGCCGTGATACCTCGGTGTATTTTTTTATTTTGATTATAAACGTTTACAGACCTATTTGTCATCTTCCATGGAGAAGAAGTCCTTCACCAAGATAACCTTTACAGAAGTAGCATAAGATATTGGTCAACATTATTTTGTCATGGTTAGTAGTGAGCGAGTACATCTTTGACGCGGCAGTGCCATATTTCAGCCACATCGCGAGCAGAACGAACACACATGCATTCTTACATATCTCATTACAACTTTTTTCAAAACGTCAGGAGATTTAGCGTGACGTTTCCATGTATGTCTAAAACAGGAAGAAAAAGGCGGGAGACAAAAAGGATCAAGAGCGACTGCTAACGGAAGATACCGACAGGTAAGTCAAACACATGACAAACACAAAAAGGAACGTAGATAACGAGACCTTTGCAGTTTTGCAACAGAGAATTACATCTCTTCCTTCAAAAGTTTAGGACAGTTTGTCAAATTTGTTGAGTAAATATGCCATCTGAAGTAAAATATGCATCCCCATGGGCACCAATTGTCCTCTCCATTCCGGTCTGGTCAGAATGTTCAAACGGATTGGCAAATTCTAAACAAGAGAATTTTGCCAACGAGTGTAACTTATGTTTAAGGTTCGTCGATGGTCTAATGTCGTTTAATAATGGTCAAACAGCCAATTTCCTTCCACTGATTTACCCATCTGAAATAAAGAGAGGAGACTATTGAAACCGCCTCCTATGTTACATGTTTTGCTGTTTGATGTGTGACCAGGGCGACACTATCCCAGCCCTTTGTGCAACTTTAAACATGCTTTATGGTTGACATGTGGAGGACATTTCCACATGCGACGCATCAGTGACAAACATAATGTCTTACAATTCCCTATGTTGATGTGTAACATACTCTCGTGTCCCCTGTAGGATGAACAGATGACTTGTCCTTGCATGCGTTTGTGATGGGTATTACAGATGTTGCAGAACCACCGTTTCGCTGGATCCATAACTATTTGATAGTAATTCATAAATACCTGCTAATGACATAGTCGGAATTGTACAATAGACACTGTTTTAAGCAGATATTTATTTTATATGATCATGGATATCAAATACGAAATCGCATGAGGAGTAATTTGTATTTCGACACACTAACTGAAATGTGTACTAAACCAATGCTATAAGCAAAAATTGATGCAATTGCCAATCCACTCTTACTTCAGTTAATTACCTAGACCTTACAGTTTGGAAACAATGTATGTGTAACTTGTGTCTAGCCCCCTATCGATAGTGATGTTGTTCAGTTAACGGTTAGTGTGGAATTATGGTTAAACATATGGTTGTATCATTAAAAAAACGATGGCTTCGTTTCCGTCGTAACATACGCATAATGAATATCTGAAAATGTTATTGTCATATGATAAAATACATGTCAGTGAGTTGTTGGACTTGACACAGCTTTAAGTTGGAACAAGTTTATAGCTGTGCAATATTGCCGATGCGATGTAATATTGTGACTCACTCACTCACTCACTCACTCATTGAATAACCTAGCGAGTTATATTTTTAAGTCAGTTGGGTCTTTCGCAGGAAGAAAATATTGAACTTTGAACAAATCTAGATTCATGTACATGGAGATGTCAGAAGACAGTTGAATTGATATATTGATTTTATTTATTATTTAATCGGGTTCTAATCCGATATCAAAAGTCTATTTCGGCAGATATTTGTGAAGACTTTGGCAATTTTTGCTGGTGATCTGAGAGGCTTCTCCAATATACGAATCACAGCAGTCACAATTAATCTAGAATACCAATCAAACAGTTATGAAAAGAATACTTTGATATTTTGGTTTTGTCAAATCATATAAATGTCTGCATGAATTTCAATATTTACATCAGATACACTTACCGGTACATTAGGAAATCTGTTTCATAAGCTCTTATTCTGGAAGTTGCCTAATTTAATTTTCATAATCCACAGTATTTGTGTGTCTGAACTCAGTATATTTAATGTTTGAATTGTTTGAGTGTTAGTGGCTTCAATATCGGAAGCAAAGAAAGGACATACAAATGTGTGTCAGAAGGCAAGTTAAATAGATTCTTTTGTCACTCTGAACTGTGGTGTAACAACATGTATCTACTGACCAAGATTCCTAACTTAATTAATGCATTGACTACGCTTTTATTGACATTCTGAAATTTAACAAATAATTCATTATTGTCCTGCTACGACTAAACAGTAACAGCCAACTTATATTTGGCTTTTACCTATTGTAACCTCTGTACAGGAATTGATCTTAGTGTGCTTATTATTTTGAATCCATTGTCATAATTAGAACGTTTTCTCTATCTTGGTTTAAATTCCATCTGAAGTTGATTCCTTTCCATCTGTTTTTTTTTATCCGCACACATATCTGATCAAGTTATTTTCATACAATTTAGGATAATTTTATTTGAAGTCTCATTTTGAGTTTTTTATTCGCGCATCATGGAATTTGCTCACGTGCGGCACTGTCTTCATCAGCTGAAGAACTTCAACAAATACAACTTCAATCCTTAATTGTACAAACTAAATAGAGTTATTGCCACTTCTGAATATTAATTTTGAAACTAACACGAGTTATTTTACTATTTTAATTAACATGTAATATGTTAGAATGAAAATCAGAGCAAAAAAGTGCCTCATGTCCCAAGAACCCATTGCAAAACGATGGTGCCTACACTACACCACTACAACTCGTGAAGTAACATGATGATCTCGAGCTCGACAAACCACTGTTTGACTGAGCGAACTAGCTAAATATACGCAAGTTTGGAGTGTTATGCAGTTGACTTAGGATACATATATTGTATATGTGTATGCAATATTTCTCGGAAATACCTATCTCGATTCACTTCCGGGTTGCTGACAGGAAAATGCGAATTCCAGTGTATTAGAAGTATAGTTTCGTTAGACATCAGCATTAGGTATGGAACCAACATTCTCAGATGGATCCCAGGATAATGACGCTTTTGGCCGCGCCACTATCGTTGGATCCAGACCTAGATTAACAGATACCTCCAAACCACCACTTCTAATCCGAAACAGGTATAAATATATACTGCAACGCAAAAGAAACGTCACCCCAAGTAACAATGCATGAAAAGTTGTAATTTAAATATCTGGGCAATTTTTGTCAAAGATTTTACATTACCTTGTCCGGAAAAATGAAATTTGATGATAAAATATTCAAAGCAGATGACAATAAAACCGCCCAAACGCATCACGGCAACGGCCATGGTAACCCGATGCGCGTGAGTTCCGTGCAAATTGAAATGCACATGCGTTCCCCCATTTCTTGCCCTATAAAAATCAACCCAGATCGGATAACATTCATTCGTTATTGAATTGCTACAGCATGCAAGGATTGACAAGAAATAAGCGACATCCAGCCCTTGGACGATTGCAAGCTGGACAACCGCCCGGCAAGAAGCCAATGCATATCAAGTCCACGTAAGGACCATATACAAGCTGCAGTATCGGAACCAGAGTCCTCTTCTCAGACGAAAGCCGTTACTGTATCTCAACAGCAGATGTCGGAGAGAGAGTCTGGCGACGCCGTGGGGAACATTATTCGGATACTTGTGTCGTTGAGAGAGACTCGTGGGGTGGTCCGAGCATCATGTTGCGGGCTGGAAATGGTCTTGCACACCCTGTGGTCTTCCAGAACATCGGTCCAGGGAGAGGCAATGGTGTCACAGCAGGTCGGTACATTGATCAGTCTTTAAACCACACGCCATACCTCATTTGGCACGTCGCCGCAACCACGACTTTCAGCATGATAACGCCCGTGCCCAAGAAGAGACTTCCTCCAGCAGAATGGCATCAGAACCATGCAGTGGCCCGCCCGATTTAAATCCCATTGAGCAACTGTGGACCGAGATTCAAAGACGGCTGAATGACGTCTGACCAAGGCCGACAACTGCAACTTAACTGCATCAGGCGTTCCTCAGAGTGCGGGCTCAAGTGCCTTTGGCCTCGTCCATTCCATGTATCGACGTTGCACGGCAGCCATCAATGCACATGGCGGACACACGAGATACTGACTTGTGATGCCATTTTCTGAGAGACTAGTGTTGTGTTTCACTTTAAGAACATTTGACACTTCAATTTTAACCTTGATGATTAGTTTTGCCAAGTTTCATCTTTTTATTGTGTCTCAAAGGTTTCTCATATATCTATCCACGGTGACGTTTCCTTTGCGGTTCAGTATATTACGCGCAATAAAACCAACTATCGGCTACACCTATTTGGGTTGCCTGTCAAAATTTGAAGTTGTTATCAACTTATCAGGCGGCGATGTGGTATTGGCCATTCACGAAACACACGTGAGTGGATCCTCCATTCTACGTCCCTCGCGATGAAAGAATCATCGTCAAGCATTTCCTGTCTGATTGTGTTGATTTAAGTACATGTATGTCAATGTTTCATTCTTAAAAGGATCTTTTTTAATATACGTTCTCATTAAGCTATTGTTTGTTTAAAATTGATTAATTGATCATTTAGAATTGATGTACTTATAGGTAACCTTTCACAATTGTGAAGATCGGGGTCAGAATAGGTCAGAATAGGTCTTCAGCAACGTATATTTGTCGTACGAGGCGACTAACTGGATCGGGTGGTCACCCTCGGTGACTTTATTATAGCAGGTCATCGTATGCAAATTACGTGAATAGATGCTCGTGATATCAATCACTGTATTGTCTGGTCCAGACTCGATTACTTACAGACCTCCGTCATATAGCTGAAATATTGCTGAGTGCGGCGTTAAACAACAAACAAACACAATAT